TGCTCCACCCTGCAAATTCAGAGAACCGCTGAGACAGGAAGGAGTGATAATCGGTTGGTGGCCTGGTCTGTAGGGAGTTGGGCTCAAACCCAAAGGCCCAGCCTCTCTGCCAATCTGAATCCACCACAGCTTCCACGGAGGAAGATGGAAGATGGACAATCCCCTTCTGTGTAATTTACAGCCTCGGAAAACCCACTGGGGGCGGGGGGTCAGCTGAGTGGCTTCTCACATGACAGCAATGAGAGTTGAGAGTTTACCTATGAAGTACATCTCAAGAAAATGTTTCAGAAACAAAAAGGCTCCATTTCTTTAAAAATATACAAGCCAAGGTAATTAATGCAACTTGACAGGGAAGCGCCCAGAGCTTCTGCTGAAAGGGCACAGTGCAAGGTGGGGTAGTGAGGAAAGGTGCATCTGAGGAACATGGACATGAGGCCAGGCGAGTGGACCTGACAGAAGGTTGCTGTGAGCCAGAACGGACTTAAAGGCTGTGGGGTTGGCTCTGGATCTGGTGTTATGAGGAACCCCACCCAGCTCTTCTGTTTCCAGGCTGCTGCTGGGAGTCACCTTCCAGATGCAAGGACAGAGGTCCAGAAAGCCAGTCTCACTCCAGCACCTTCAACACAGTCGGCTCCCCAGCTGCCAGCTGGACACCAGCAGGTGGACAAGTGGACCTTCTGCAAGGGAAGGACTCCTGGTTTCCCTCTGACCTTGACCGCATTTGGGATGCTGAGATGGTGAGAGTGTGTATGTGGTGCCACGGTCTCTGGCCAGCATCCCATCTCAGAGAGAGGGCTGATCTGAAGGACGGCCTTAATGTGTTCAAGGACTGAATGACATGGGGTCCTCAGAAAGGTGCCACTTGCCTTACAAACAGTCCCTTTGCCCACCCTGGAGCATCAAAAGCAGCACATCTCCTCAGCTCCGTGCTACACTCAGTGGCCCTGTCCTTTACTTCTTGTTGCTTTTTTGCTTTCAAAAAAATTATTTTTCATGCTTTTTCCCATTATGGAGAGGGAGGCTGATCATGACTGTGGTCAGCTGTGGTAAGTGGTGCGAGAGGCAACTGTTTTATTGAGGCTTACTCCACAGCAGTGCATCTCCCTGCAGCTTTGGGCAGAGTTCACGCACCAGAGGAGGCTGGGAAGGCTGAGGGGTGGAGTGATAAGCCTGGGCTGTGCACCTCTGGGAGGAAGGACGACCAGGACGGGGGAAACCGGCTTTTGTGTTTCCCGCTTGGTGCAGACTGTCAGCTATCTCCTGGCTCCTGGGAATGAAGGAAGGATGAATCGCCAGTGTCACGTTAACACCTTGAACACACTCTGCCCCACAGGGTAATAATTATGAGTGTAATGACTTCAATGCTCGTAGAGCTAATAGACAAGTATCATAACACGTTTCATTTTGCAGTTCAGTTCAGTTGAGGGGAGGGAACACGTTGAGAGGACAATTATTATTGCTGTATCTCTATGTTTAAACTGTAGCCTCTATTTTTTTTTATGGTGTGTCTTCTGTCTAGATGTTCACACATGAACCTTGGGCACAACAGTTAGGTGCTCTGCTGTTGACTGAATGCTTGGCAATGTGAAGTCATCCAGACACTCCAGGCTTTTTCCTACTAAGGCTCATACCCATAACTTTCTTCAGTGGATGTCCCCAGACCCCTGGAACCAGTACAGCTGTCCAGCCGGTATGTGCAGACAGCCTGACGTGCCTAGAACAGGTCATCTCGTTGGGCAGCCTCAGCTTTTGATGGACTCCTAAGGAAAGGCAGTGTCCAAAAAATCCTACAGAGGAATGAATGCTGAGGTAATGATTATGCTTCTAGGACTGTGTCATCCAACAAAACTTTCTGTGATGCAGGGACCATTCTGGGTCTGTGTTATGCAACTTGGCAATCATTAGCCTCCTGTAGCCATAGAGAACTTAGAACGTGGTGCAACTGAGGAACTGAAATGTTCATTTTCTTTAAAATCAATCTATTTAAAGAGCCACGAAGTGCCCTACGTTGTCACAAGAGGTGTCCCAAGGTGCCACGGAGCTGGCTCCCTCTCTCTCACAACCACCCCTCAAACAACAGAAGGAGACCCGTCCAGAGCCAGCTCCATTCCCAATCTCTGTGGTGCCTGCACTCGCTACAGCAGCCAGCACGTCAGTTCACCTCACTGAGAGTCTTCCTCGACTTTACTAAGCAAAGTACCTGACCCTTCTTGACAATGTACCCACAGTACATAAGACAGGGTCTCAGTATCTTCACTCCTAAGGTGCACTTGGGCTACACTTCTTCCAGGAAACGTCTGTTCTTCTGGCGGCTCCTGGTACATTCAGAATCCTTCCTCAGCACCACAATTCAAAGGTGTTGGCTCTTCTTTGGTTGGCATGGCGCTGATGGCGACCGTATTGGGCAGCGCAGGTCTCAAACTCTGTAGGATCAGGCGGAGGCCAAGACTTTGCCTAAAACTCCACCCTTCCTTTACTTCTCCCCCTTTCCTATCTCTTCTAGTTTTTCTGGGAACATCTACTTCCAGATATCACTGCCTCCTCCCCTTGGCAGATTTTCTTAGATGACTTCTGCTTTTCAGGCACGACCTTGAAATTTCTCTCATTCTACTGAATAATTGAGTTCTATTCATCATAGATAATTCCCTAATTTAGGACAGAGATGATTTGGGAGGGACTCAAGAAACTCAAGCATCAACTGGATACCTGGACTAGATGACTGTAAAAGCCTATTTCAATCCTAAGAGAACCTGTACCAAACTCCTTCCCACATCACTCAATAATCTGTTCAGCAGGTATTTCATGTCCAGTTATTACAATCTGTGGGGAGCTGTGCGGCTATCTCAAAGACCACACCTCTCTGGTGGTTCGAATCCACTAGCTGCTCTGAGGAAGAAAGATGGGCAATCTTCATTCATGTAATTTGTAGGCTCAGAAACCCAACGGAGGATCATGAGTTGGTTAATGGTACTGAGTTTGAGTTTAGTGTATGTTAAGGAGGCCACAAGACATGTAAAGAAACCAAGGCATAGAAGGAATGAAAGTTGTGCCCTTTGTCATAAAGTAGAGAGTGACCTTCTGCCCTGTCTTAAGGTGAAAAGTCACTTGTTGGTTAAGACTGAGGTCCGACTTGCTTCTGTGCTCAGCAAAGAATCTACTGCAGGAGGACAGGTACACATTGCTTATGGCACTTTGGGCATTGTCTGATCCCATGAGGTCACACTCATCAGAGGTTCTATAAGGTGTTAAGAGAGTTCAGAAATCCCGACTGGGGAGCTGAAGACACTCTGCTAAGTACTAAGCTATGCAGAGCCAATCTGTCTCAGACTTCATCCCTGGACCTGCTACTGTCCTGACACTGGGGCTGGAGGAGGAGGTCCCAGCACCTGCCATTGGCTGCTTGTCCCATCAATCATCATGCCTCAGTGAAGGGCTGTGCAGATGTTGCAGAGCCAGGAATGGTGATACCCTGCCAAGGATCTTGACCTACGTGGCCCGTGCACCCAGGCCCAAGGCTGAGACAACTTTTTTTGCTGGTGGCCTTATGGTTCCATAGACCAGCAGAAACATGCATGTCAGACCCAACCACTACCATCCTTCCGGCCTCTCCTGTAGACAGTGTTCATACAGTGTTCAAATCACATAATGTTCCATTCTGCAGGACATATTTTAAAAGCTCCAAACCCAACAAAAACAAGCCCACTGCCATGAGACTATTTTGACTCACGACAACCTTCTGTTAGGTTAGCCAAGCGTGAATCTTTATGGGGGGATACTGCTTGTCTTCCTTCCGAGTAACAGCTAGCAGATTTGAACTACTGAACTTCTGATTCGCAGTCCAACACATAATGCCCTATGCCACCAGTGCCCCTTCACAGACTGTACAATTCATACACCTATCTGTATATAAAGCATTAAGACCACACCTCACATGAACAGTAATGTTTCCTTCCATAAAGGGGAACACTCTGTTGGTCCTAAAAACCAGATGGTGGTGACCTTAAGGAATTTCTCAACTGCGCCATTACATAATGGAAAAGAACTTGCGATGGCTTTCTCACATGGAACAAACCTTGAAAGGTCCTCATAGAACGTTCCCGTGTGACATGCACTGAGCCACAAAAGCAAGCTCGTTGCTCAATGAGTTGACCTGAATCTCAGGACTGCATCCATGTGTTTCTGCATCATATTAAGCAGGGGTGCTATGGAGACTCAGGGAGGCAGCCAGCCAAGGACCCTCTCACAGACACCACTGTTCCTTCTCATGTTTGGCCAGAAATGGCACAAATTACACCTCGCCGAACTGGCCAAGACTGGGTGGTTCTGTTCTGGAAGATGAGCGCATTGTGGATTTAGTGGAACTTGCCTTCAAAGTGGGAGACCTGGGGTCCACTCTCAAGTCAGTGCATTTCACACACAGCCACCCCATCAGGCAGTGGAGGTTTTCGGAGTACTTGTGGTGTAGTGTGTAATGTATTGAGCTACTATCTGAAAGATTAGCAGCTTGAATATACTAGTCACTCCTTGGAAGAACGACAGGGGTGCCTCTTCCACAAAGCTTTACAGCCTCAGGAACCTAGCAGAGGGTCGCTGTGAGTGGTAACCAACTTGACAACAGTGAATTGCATGACACAGAACAGAGTTCTGCAACGCTCTTAGACTAAGAAGAAAGGTCTGGCCATGTAATTTTGAGAACCATTCAATTCAATAAAGACCTTGTGAATCGCAGTGATCTGATATATCACTGATCATGAGAGGAGTGCAGGACTGCAGGACCAGCTAGTGTTTCATCCCTTTATGTACGGAGCCGCAGTCAGTGAGTCAGAGGCCAACTTGACGCAGCAGCAACAACAACAACAACAACAACAACAACATGCTTGAAGAACACTCAGCCCCTGCTGCAACCGTGAGCGAAAACATAATGCACTGAAATAATCAGAATTGTTCAAAATTGTCCCAGACTGCAAACAAGTCCTACCCAAATACAAGCCCGTGGCTACCTGGTGGCAAGAAGGGGGTATGTGTGAACCGGGCTGAACCAGGCCTCCTTCCTCCGGGGCATGCTGTCATAAATTAACAGGTCCTTCTCAGTCAGCACCACCAGGGCCGCCTTCCACTGCTTCTCATTCTCCCCTGGCACCTGCAACAGAAAACAACTGTCAAACAACAGCCGGGAAGTGGCTGGCTGGGAAGGAGAGGTTGGCATCCCCCAATGACAAGACCCAATCATGCGACTGGCTTTGCTTCAGCCTGTGAGATCAAAACGGGGGGGGAAGCAAAGCAAGGTCTCCTAATCCTGGATCCTTGGAAGTAGCTGTTGTCTCGAGGGCCCTGGGACGTGTCGGCAACACAGCCAAGAAGGCGCCCAGCTGCCAAACAGCTGTCCTGTTTCTCACCTGCCAGTCTGCGCTGTAATCTTTATTTCATGGTGGGAGGCAAAAGCTTGGGGGAATAAGCACTCCCAGCTGGTTCTCTGGAAGAAGAATTTGGAAAGGAAAAAAAAAGGAGGAAAGTAAGATTCGAGAGCTTTTGAATAAACATTCAAAGGCTCTGAAAAATGGGGTACTAGGCAAGCTTCTGAGACATCATCACATCTTCCCTGACTTTCTCTTAAATAGTTTCTGGGGTATAGACACTACTTAGAAATTTATTATACTGGATATTGAATTCCACTCACTGCAGCTAATTCTCTAACTCAGGGCTGAGACAGTCTCATAGGAGCAGGAGAAGTTTCACGTTTCCGTTGAGTACTAGACCGTCCTGTTAAAACCCACTGCAGCTCCTGAGCTTTCTCTCTGACCAGGATTGATTTTCCCTAAACTCTCTAAATGTTCTTTCAGCTGTGAAAATGTCCTTTCAGTTTGAATTCACTCAGTTTGGGAAAATTCAATGACTACCTCTGCTGCTCAAAGCATGGGCCACTGTGCAATAATATCTGTATCACCTAAGGGCTGGCTAGAAATGCAGGATATCAGGGCCTCCCTGGGCCTAATGAATTAGAATTTGCTTTTCAATAATATCTTATGATGATTTACTCATATGCTCATTAATGATTAAGAACGAATGTTATGATTTGATGATATGCTCATTAACGATTAAGAACGAATGTTTATGTTGTTGTCATTGTTGACTGCCTTCGAGATGAACACAACTCATAGTGACTCCATGAACAAAAGGCCCGAAGCCCCTCTACAACCATCGACATTTATCAAAGTTCACAGAGTTTCCGGAGGCACATTATTTAGGAAGTGGATGCCACTCCTGCTTCCAAAAGAATGTTCTATAATCTAAACAAAAATCCACACAACTGGGCCAATAATCAATATTCATGGTACATGGAGGAAAAAATGGGAGTTACTAATGATTTCATTTTATTTGCATCCACAACCAGCACTCACAGAAGCGGCAGCCAAGAAATGAAACGATGTATTGCATTGGGCATATGTGCGGTCAATGGTTTCTTCAATGTGCTGAAGAGTAACGATATCACTTCAAGGACTAACGTGGGCCTAACCCAAGCCATAGAATCTTCAATTGTTTCAAATGCATGTGAAAACTGGACAGTGAATAACAAAACCTAAGAAAGAACCGATGCCTCTGCATTGTTTCTGGCAAAGAATCCTGCATATATCAAGGACTTTCAGAAGAATGAACAGATCTGTCTTGGAGGAACAAGAACTCCTTAGAAGTGACATTATGGTGATGTTATTTGGATCACGTTTATCAGGAAAGGAGAATTTCTGGAGAACATAATGGTTGGCACAGTAGAGGGTCATCAAAAAAGGGGGAAGCCTCAGTCCGATGGACTCAAACTCTGCCTACCAAACAGCACCAACTGTAAATATGGCGCCGCAGTCAGCAGTGTTTGGCTCTGATGCAGAGGGCTACTTGGAGTGGGGAAAGACTGAGTGGTTGTATCAAATTTTTCTCCAGCAGCATATTCTTCAAGATGAGAGTGGACTGTTAGAGAAGCCAATGTACCACATCTTACAAGGTGAATAAGCCGTGGTTTCCAGGCATAAAAGCATTTGAGGGGTTTGGAATAATTTTTACCCCCCAGCCTCTACATTAAACTTAGTAAATTACTTTTCCAGCTCATTAAATAGCACTGAAGAAAGTTACAAATGATCCTCCCAAAGTGACTCTCTTACTTACCTAGTCAGATTTGATCCATTAACTTTGCCTAGAACCAGTCATTTCAATGCAAACACGACTAAGTATCATTCTCCACAAACATTAAGTTGGCAAAAGAAACCTCAACAATAACACCAACAGTTGAGCGCAGGACTCTCTGCTGGTGGAAATCACCAACTCATTCAGCCGTCAGGCAGTTTATAATGGTCTAAGCAGTTGCAAAGTCCTAGGACATCTGCAATTTAGTAGAGCCCAGTGTGGTCTGACCGTGTTACCCTGTGACCACAGTCGGGGTGGGTGTGTGGAAGAATTCCTGCTGCTATCCAATGGTATGAAAGCCTAAGGGTAGTTATACCCAGCAGGGTGACTCACTTGCCCAGGAGGAAAATTTCACACAGAAGAACAAGTTTTTGGGATTTTTTAAAAAAATCCCATCTTGTGCCATGTAGCCTTACACTTTGGAACCTTTCAATTGTTCAAACACTGTTCTTCAGGCTCAAGTATCTGTCCAAATGACAACTTTCACTCCAAATTCCAGTTGTCTGAAACCCAAAGACAGCCCAAGGTTAATTCAATGGTTCTGGGAACACAGCTATATTTTTGTAAAATGTGTTGTCATATCAAGAATTGGCTGCGGGGAGGAAGGTGCTGGCTGGCCTAGGTGGGGTGAGCAGGGGGTGTGGGTGGGAAGGGGGTGCTGGTGGAGCAGGGAAGGATAAGACCAAGACACACTTGCCCAAGGGGGAACAGACACAATTTATTGGTCACTTCTGCAAAAGAAAGTATCCTCCATCTGCTCCTTTTGGCAAAATGCTCATCTGTCAGGTATGGTTCTAAAGCTGAGCATTCAAATTAAGACAGGCTAGGAAGAAGGACTGGCCATCTACTATCTGAAATAACAGGCCTTCAAAAACCCCTCTGCGTAACAGGGCAAAATACTTCAGAGTAAATGAGCAGAGGTGGTACCTGAGGCTGAGCCCTTGCATTGGGAAACAAAACTGAGAAGGAACAGTTGTAAGTGGACAGTAATGACTGCAATGTGGAATGTGAGAAACATGAAAGTAGGAAAACTGGCTATTTTTAAGAATGAAATGGAACCTAAATATTGGGGAAATGAGATGGATCGGCATGGGACATTTGAGTCGATCACATGATCTTCTATGCTGGAGATGAAAAGGAGGAAAAATGGAGTCACATTCACAGTTTATAAAGGTCATTTCTAGATCCAACCTGTTGTTAACAATTTCAGCTTGCTCGGCTCCACAATCAACACTATTGGCACTAGCAGTCAGGAACTGGAAAGATGGATTGCTCTGGGGAAAGCTGCTGTCAGGGACCTCTCAAAAGTTCTGAAGAGTAACGACGTCAGTCTGGAGACTAAAACATGTTGGATTCAGGCCATGGTCTTCATAACTACTTGCTATGCATTAGAGAGTTGGATATGGCCAAAGATGACAGAAACAGCATTAATGCCTTTGAGTTGTACTTCTGGAGAAGAGTATCGAACATACCACAGACTGCCAAAAGAACAAACAGGCTTATCTTGAAGAGGGTGAAAGGAGGCTGCTCCTTGGAGGCAAGGATCTTGAAGCACCATCTCACATACTTTGGGCATGTGACCAGGAAGGACCATCCCTGGAGAAGGACATCATGCTTGAAAGAGTGGAGGGACAGCACAGGAGAGGAAGAGCCTATATGAAATGGTTTGACACAGGAACTGGGCTAAACTAGGTGTGTTGGAGATACTGAGATTGGCTCAGGATAGTGTAGAGTTCAGAGCTATTGTACATAGGGTCCCTCTGAGTTGCAGGCAACTCGATGGCACATAACAACAACAACCACCACCTTAAAGAAGCACCCAGACTGCACTTCTAAAACCAATTCAGTGTTATTTGCCTTTGCTGGGTCTAAATTTCCTAATCTGCCAAGCAGAACTAAATGAGTGCTAACAAACACAATCTATTCAATGAGGATACATACAGAGCACGACCAACATGGCAACTATAGCCGCCACTGAGTCAAAGAGGCCCCTGACTCATGGTGACCCCCAAAGGTGACAGCATGAAATGCTGCTCAGCTGCAGCCTGGACCACTGTGATTGGTTCACCAGGATCCATAGGGGTTGTTTTTTTTTGTTTTTTGTTTTTTCTGGCTGATATTTGAGACACAGCTCATCAGGAATTTCTTTTGCTTTCTTTTAGTCTGGAAACTTCACTGAGATCTGGTCAGCATCATTGCAACACAAAGGCTCTGCGGACAACAGTGACTGCATGAGGTGCACTGGATGGGACTAAAATCCAATCTCCCCGTGGAAGGAGGGCACTCTACTGCTGAACCACTACTGACCCCACCACTCAACATGCCTGCTGTTGTTAGATGACATCTATTTAACTCTGACTCCTAGCGGCTGAGTGGACAACAGGTCTGTACTGTGCCCTACACTGTGTCATTCCACTCTCTCTGCCGTGATCAAAGCCCATTGTTGTAGTCACTGTGTCAATCTAACTTGTGGACAGTCATCCTTGCTTTTCTGACTATCTTTTCCAGCACGATGTCTTTCTCCAAGGACCTGCCCCTCCAAACAGCATGTGCAACGATGACTTTCTCCAAGGACCTGCCCCTCTGGACAGTATGTACAATTCACGTAAGATAAAAATCTCACCATCCTTGCTGCTAAGGAGAACCTTGGTTGCACTTCTCCAAGACAGATTTGCTTGTTCTTTTGTCAGTTGTGATAAATTCAATACTCTTTGTCAGTATCACAGTTCTTCTTTAATCTTCCTTATTCACTGTCCATACAACACGGTAATCACTCAAAAATGTTAAAATGTCTCATCAGCAATATCTCAGTCACAAAGGGACAAATACTGCATCGTGCCACTGTTGTAGAATGGGACCGAAATCAGGGTTGGGGTAAGACTAAGAAAAAACTGGATAAATTATGCATACTGTATTGAAACAGATGAGGGAAAGAACAGATTAAAGGCGATATATGATTGGGTATTA